GACACTTTTGTATTATTAAATATACTATATCTTTATATCCGCCCGCTATACTATAACCCTGCAATGTTTCAGAAATCTGCTTGTTGACCACATGCAGCTGGCTAGAACAACATTAGTCCTCTAAACAAATTCGATTTTATTCTGTTTGTGTTCCTTCAAAATTGTAGAGCAGTTAGTTCAGATCAGCCTGATAAATAATGATAACCTTTCTACTTGTCACTAGAGATAGATTTCATACACATTTTGAATAGAGTTCCGATTTAAGAATTTATTTCTCATAAAAAGAATACACAATACAAGATAATTATGAAAACATGATAACTTATTAAAATTAAAGTACAGAGTATGATAATGCGGGCGGTACACTGAAATTTTTTCTACTAAAATAATATAAATGAATTAACAATGTGGGTACCTATTACTAAAATTATAACAAAAATAACTTAAGGCGGCCACAGACGCTGGGGTTTGAATGATGGTTATAACTGTGCATGCAAAATCGACAAGCATAACCGAGCACCGATGCACCGACAACTGTACAGTTTAATCACATACACGCTAGGGCTTGCCTGTCGGTTACGCATGCACGGCTAAAACCATCATGCAAAACCCAGCGTGTATAAGCCTCCTTTAACTCGTCGAGTACCGGTTTTGCAGACACAATTATAGAACAAAAGGTTGCGGTCACCGGTGACCGCTTGGTATTTGACAGTTTAAACTGTTAGCGGTCACCGGTGACCGCAACCTATTGTTCTATAATTGTGTCTACAAAACCGGTACTCGACGAGTTAAATTATTTATTTTAGTTTATATCACAATCATGAGCAAAACTGTCGCCAAGTCATTGAAGGTCTGTATTATATTGTTATGTATTTACCTGTGCTTCTAAATATCGGCCTCCCTTCCCGCTGATAGCCTCGACAATATCGTGTGACGTGTCGGAGTCTATCGACGTCATCTCCACGTAGCCTTTAGACTCCAGGGACGGACAGTGCAGTACGCCACAGTTACCGAACACCATCTGGATTCATTGGAAAAGGGAACATTAAATATTATATTTCAGTAAGTAGAAAAATACAAAATACAATACATTTGTTTACTTTACATCTAGATTAATTCTAGTTGTAGATGTCTATATAGTCCACAAACGACAGTAAATCCTTTAGCCTTTTATTCCAGTAGCCTTTTATCTGTTGAAACATCGGCTCCCGGTATAAAACACATTATACCCGCAACTTTAAACAGACAAGAGGCTAGTAAAATACAAATTTAAAGAAATCACGTTCTTTAATCTACAAATAGTCGCATCAAACATTTACAGTGAAAGGTGAACTTAATGCGTTAAGCCATTTTCTACCAGTCAACCAAGTTGACAGGAACCCGGTTTTTATATACGCATTAGTACAATATCTTCCGGTTCGATAGTCCGCGACCATCCCTCCCTGACCCATAAAGATTCCCAGTAAAGGTCGCCGCGGCCCTGACTCCGAGCCGACCTTTGTGCAAACACACCTACCCGTGAAATCAGCTTTTAATAGATACATATAGAATGATTTTCATTTCTGTTCGGGTGTAAAAAATAGCCTATTTCTATTTTTTAAATTTATTCCAAAGCCACATCATAAACGATTTCTGAAATATTTTTCCACAATTCAAATATTCAAATGTATTTGGAGTACCTATTTTATAGATCTGTACGAAATTGTATTATAAATCATTATAAGCCCCTAACGTCGCTTGAAACTAGTCCAGTTATCTAGTCAAAAAGTTACAGGAGGACCCATAAAACATAATTGCCTATCAATTAGCTACCATGGGTACTAGTTTCTATAAGAATGTGTGTAATAATTCATTATATTTTTCAGTATGCTCTGCATGGAATTTGTTGTTACCTCTTTAGCTGCCTGAGGGTCTGCGACACATGAAAAGGTGATGTCTGCCTCCTCCACCACATCACATGGTGTCGTCGCCAGCGTCGCTCCCACCTTCTCGAAGTCTTTACACTGAAGACAAAGGAGAAATACAATTAATTTATTATAAATTTCAATGATTAAAGTTTTGGAACAAGAATAATAATTTAACAAAAGGCTGGTCTCTTGATTAAAATACTACTGGAAAAATATCAATATTTTTGGAAAACAAAAATGAAGTTGAATGCAATTAATAATATTTATTTTATAATAATTTAAAACTAAATGAATTAGTTACTTTCAGTATTATTTTAAGAAAGTTTCACTACAGCGCCATCTGTAATCATTCAACAAACTCAAACTTTCCGCTCAGTGCCACTAGATGTCGCTGTATGTCGGGGCGCTGGTACCTGAAAGAAACGATCGATATCCGCGCGCCACGCAGCGGATCGGGCCGCGTCAACGACCGCGCCGCGCAATGGCCGACGCCACGCGCCGCCATTTTGACGGCGATAACGGCGCCTATCTAGCCACCACGCACGCAGCGACACCGCTGAACACCGTGACGACTGTCAACCAAACTCTCGGGCCATTCTCTCGACGAACGATTCACTGTGTCTATTTGACAAGTTACTGGAAAACGTACAGGGGAATGATGCCTTTCTAGCTAATTCAAACCAGCGGATTTTTGTTTTTGTAGTACTTATTTGCAATTTTGAGCAATAACTTATTGACAAAACAGTTGAGTAATTGCTTTCCATCAAAATATATTATGAATCGGTTGAAAAAAACTGAGTCCAAGCAACTGTAATGCTTTTTTATTTTTGGATGACCTCCCAGGCATTGACAAAATGCTTAGGCAATAATAATTAACAATAATATTAGGGTGTGACATTTCGAAAAAGGTCATAAAGTACCTAACGCGCCCTAGTTATATTCTATCCGCCTACACTAAAAGGTATTAATTCTCAGCAGAACCAAAACGCCAATTTGTATTTGCATACAGTTAGATGGCAAACAGTCCCAGCTGTTCGTTAGTTTTCTGGCATTGGGTAGACAAATGTTAAGGCAATAGAAAGAGGATATCGATTTACGCCACAAACAGTACGGAAGAGAGAATTGAGAATGATTGAAAATACATTTTAATGTTTACAATTATCATCAAAGCATCGAATGTTTATAATAAAACGTTCGCAGAGTATTGATAGTTCGCGACAAACTGTAGCTGAGCTACGAAGGTCAATATCATTGTTTGCGCAGATGGCGCCAGTGTCACATCCCGGCTACATAAACTGGTGTAGGAGAGCACGGCCCACGCTGATAGATTACAGTGCATACAAAGTGCCATACAAACACACACACAAACTACTCAGAAACCAAACGTTCCTTCACAAAACTTTTGATATGAATGAATGGGTCACAATAGGTCACGTCTGAAATGTTATTTTGTCTGCTTATGACGCCAGTATTTAGCAATAATACAATGATATATGAAGGACATTAAATTAAAAATAAATGTTATGTAAATAGATATTTGTCTGCGTATTTACTATCTGTTATAACACCTTTCGTAATAGTAAAATATGTTACTATGATACCGGTATCCTTTGTGCAATATCCGCATCGCATCGGTGTTCGGTGCAACAGTCTCTTCCGCAATCGTTTAAATAATTGAGATGAAAATGATAGCGGACTTGGCACAAGTACAGGAGTACAGCTCTTGTGTGAATTCATAATGAAATCTGATTCATAAAACATCTGCTAACGGAAATTAATCACGAATATGTTGTAGCTTTTCTTCAAAACATTAACATGAGTGTACAATTCGATCCCGTCGTGGAGATGTCTTATAATCTTGTTCGTGCAAATTGTAAATGGTCGGTGTACCGTGTACGAGGTTCACCCCATAGTGGTGTCATTCACAGCAGCTGCAAATGTAGTGGAGCGAGCACTGGCATTTCAGAGCTGTATTTGTACAATATTTTCCGAGACCCGGCCAGTCTTAGTGCATCTGTACTTACTAGTATTGATTATGTTCAGCTTAAAGATACGACAGTGCATTCTAGATAACTTTATTACTACTTGTACCGCTTTCTATGTGTAAATATTCATTCAAGACATTAACACATTAACGTTAAGCTATTCATGTTTATTTATGGCGTCTTTAAATTATGTTGAGACATGAAATACGTCTTTCATCTGCTAGATCAGTTTCCAAATTGCCGCCCACGACAGGTACGTCTCTCTCAGAATATTACCTAGCTCGCTTTACTGAACACTCGTCAGAACAGTCTAAATGGGGAATTCTTCATTAGGGCCAACAGTAAATGATTAATTGTTTAATTAGTCTCTTTTGTGTCCAAAACCGACCTAGTCATTGTGGATTCAGTTCTACGAGTTATTCCAATAAAGGTCGAAGCCGTCTCTATGTTTAGACGAATTGTCAATGTGAGAACATATTAAATTCCAGGCGATATTGGAATTTCAATATAGACCTAGACCTTTTCAATAGGAATTGATACAATTTCTAACGGTAAAATAGTGTTTTTTTTCCATTCAATGTCAAAACAGAATTTCCATTACCTGGATTAAATTGTGTATGTGTTCACATTAAAATAACTTTCTTGGTATTAACACGTATTTCTTATCTGTGGTCGGTTCTATTTTAGGCCTTATCGCTTTAATCCTGTGAGTGAAAATTGCCTTGTAGTTTACATACACTTTTGGTAATTACTTATGTTGTCTGTACTAAATAAAATGTTATACCACGGCTTAGAGAGGTATTTGGAATGTGCGTTTTCATGAGATCGGTCGATATATTTCCACGAGTAGCTTGGATTAAGTAGAGTACCTGTCTATTGGTAACAGAAAATTCTTCGAAGTGTTTATCAGAGGATAAACATTTCTGGTCAAGGCCGATACCATTCCATTTCAAGATGCCTTTCGCCTCCATGGCGATAGCAATAAATCCTCGCAGTTTGAAAGCTTGGAAAGTGTTTGTTTCAAAGTTTGCTACTGTTAAATTGAATTCAGCGATCAATTCGCCGAGTGGTTTTCACTGCGTAATCGATGCTTTTACATTATTATATATTCTATAGTATATGCCAAGGTTATCGTATTACAAAGGTGAACAGGACAGGACTATTTGGACTGTTTTACCACAACGCGCTGTTATTAAACGGAACTATCAACCGTTGTAGAATCAAATAACCAATTAATACATTGTAGAAAATAATACTTAATAAATATTAACACAACAAATTGAATGACTAACTATCCAAACCACAATATCAAAAACTTGTAACTCACTCATTTAATTTGGAGCAGTGACTAAAATTGTGGTAGACGACTCTATAGTGCTTGGAAACAAGACAATCAATTCAATACTAATAAATATTCATTTTGACATTATGAACATGCAGAAAAGGGAACCACACGGCCTGCTAACAAAAATGATCAGTATATGAGTATGAGAACCCCTTCTGAGTTAACTTGAAGGCAACAGTTTGTTTCCGTTATTTTAGCATATCTGTCTCCTTCTTTACTTGAAAGCTTCACATTTCCACAAGTGCAAGCAACATGCGCTAACAATAATGGTGATAATTAAAACTTATTTCAAAATGTCGGTCGTGCTTCGTCGAATGTTTTGTAGGTCGTACGTGCTCTCTCACCCAACCGTCTAAGGTTGCCACTTCAATTATATCATCATATTTGTGTCATGTACTTAATTCAATTATTCAGTCGCGTTAATATGTCATTATAGTACAAATATTATTATTTTGTTTGAGTTCAAATGTTCTAACGTTTAAAGGTTATGAGGATAAAATTACAAAACGTTTATTAATAAGGAAACTAGGTTTAAAATAAACGGTATTGGTATGCTATTAATATCTTATGTAAAATCTTTAGGTACCACGTGTCATAAATCCAAAGTCATCGTTCAAAATTGGTGGGACCACTTTGAGCGCCCATTTTAACTCGTCGAGTACCGGTTTTGTAGACACAATAATTTATAGAACAATAGGTTGCGGTCACCGGTGACCGCTTGGTGTTTGACAGTTTAATAGTTGTAAATGCTCTTTCGACAATATTCGCACAGCTGGAAACCCTGAATGCGAGTAGAATTACTAAACAATAGCACGAGCGACATAACAGTACCAAAAAGAATATTATCAGTACTGGAGCAAGTTACCGCCCAATGGTTATTACATCATGTCGGTTGCGCTTTATTTACAATAGCTGTTTGAACTTGGTCGAAAGTAAACCAAGTCAATTATTACAAACATAGAACAATACTAATACAAATTCTACTGCAAGATACAACAGCTAAGGACTAATACTCATAGACAGCCGAGTAATATTCCAAATCATAGAAACTTAGAGAAAACTAAATAAAGATAAAAGAGAGCATTTAATAACAACCATTACGTCAACCTGGTGTAGGAAATGACTCTCAAACAACGATAAAGGCATTAAATAACCATTACAAATACTGATAACAAAGCGTTTAGAGATTAAACGATATAACCTAAAAGCCTCCGACCTAGCAACTCCCCGTCCAAGGGCGACATAAAGAAAAGATTATTGAAGCGAAGAATTCTCTTAATATCTCGAAAGGCCGATGAATAAAGACGAGACGAAGCTTCATAGTCTCCGTACTGAATAATAAACAACCCAATGAGACCGCAATAATTTATAACAATCTGTCCCGGGACACTTGCACCGAGTTTTGGCGACGGGCCATAGAAAGGGGAAATTATCACTTTGTAGACAGGTGGCGAAGCTGGAAACATTGAAGCGTGTATATTTAAAGGCCACACTATTTTTAAGCGACTGCGCCAAAAGTTGAAGAATGTGCAATTAATTCAGAATTTAGAGATTTCTAACAAGACCAGATATGATGATAAAGATGTAAAATTTTATCGAGAGTATCCGTGTTAAGTGGGCACGTAATTATCATGAACAATAATAGAGAAACGTATTTCATGTGTGCGAATACAATTGTTATGGTTAATGGACCAGCTATTGTCTTAACACATAAACAATAGATTATGCGAATAGGTATGAATTTCTTTCACAGAAACTTAGCATTG